GCCTCTAAACTTAAAATGCCTATATCTCGGCTCCCAGGTGAGCTAGAAAGCTCGTTTTTGAACAGAAATGACTGGAAACTTCTGAAGAGCTAAATACTTTTAAACAACATGAGAAACTCCAGGAAAGATATTTCCAATGTTTCGTTTTTTGTTGAAATTTTTCATTTTGATGAATTATGCATAATCAAAAAGATTTTGTAATTTCACACATTTCTAAAAAAGAATCAGCTCTCTAGCTCATCCAGAAACCGAGTTACAGCCATTTGAAGTTTAGAAGAGACGCAGACAGTCAGAGTGTCTCGTTGTCTGCGTCTCTCGCCTCCTAAACTTTAAATGGCTATATCTCGAATCCTACAAGAGCTAGAAAGGTGATTCTTCGACAGAAATTCGTAGAATTTTCGATAATTTTCAAGTTTTTATCAAACTTCTCACCTCCTAAACTTCAAATGCGCGTATCCGGTCTTCTAGAAGAGCTAGAAAACTGGTTTTTGAACAGAAATGACTGAAAACTTCTGGAAATTTATTTTTGAACCTTTCTCTTCAGGTAGCTCGATTCATTTGTGCTATAATTGTGGTCATATCGTGGATGTCTGAGTATCATTCAACAGAAGAGGCCAATAAAGCAGCTAAAGAAGGCGAGGATCCGTATGAGTGGATTTCCCGTGCGTTTTTTATTTTCGAAAAATTTGTCATTAAAGCGCATTTTCTCTATTCAGACCGAAAAGCGATTCTGCTCGCGTTCGCCGGAATCTACATCAAAATTTTCATCTCACAACTTTTTATTCTCAATCGGTAAGAAAAAAGTCCAATGAAGCGAATTTGCTACTTTTTTATTTCAGATACTATTCCCACGCCGCCGAAACGGAACGTGAAGCGAAAGAAAGAGAAATCGACATGGAGTTTTAGCCAAATTTTCAGAAAAATCGATTTTTGTCTCGTGGAATCAATTTTTTTGCTTAAAAAATATTATTTTCTGCATATTTCATTAAAATCTGGTCCTGAAAATGATAAATGTGAATATTGACGCTTATAAAAAGGATATTGAGTCTTCATGGTGAATTTTTAAATGATTTGATTGGGCGGGAATTTGAAATTTTGAATTTTTTTTTGAATTTCTGAATTTCAGATTTCCTGAACTTTTGAACTTCTGAGTTTAGGAATTTCTGATTTTCTGAGTTTAGGAATTTCTGATTTTCTGGATTTCTGAAATTTGTATTTCTGAATTTCGGAACTTCTGAATTTTCGAATTTCTGAATTTCAGATTTTCTGAATTTCAGAATTTCGGAACTTCTGAATTTTCGAATTTCTGAATTTCAGAATTTTAGAATTTCTGAATTTCTGACATTTCAGTTTTTCAAGATTTCTGATTTTTTTTTCAAATTAAGAATTTTTAAACGTCTTGGTATTTCAGAAATTCTGAATTATATTTGCTGAAAAAAATTGTTTTTCTATAATTTTTTTTGTCTGAAAATTTCAGATTTTTTCTTTTTCCAGGTTATACAAAATCGGGAAATTTTCAATCGATAATTGGATTGCAATCCTTATCACTATCGTTTGTCTGATTGTGGCTCGTGCGCTCTTCAATAATGTCATTTTTCCGTATTATTTCGAAGAATTTAGTAATTATGCAAGTACGCTCTAGCGAGAATTACTAAAAATTAAATTTAGAAAAATTATATCGACTCGAAAATACGCTGAAGAACATGAAAGAGGTGCTAGAAGAGGATTATTCGGACTTGTGGCACGAGCAAGAGTTTTGTTTGGCATTCTTGGCGGTAAGTGCGCCCTACTGGGCACTTGGCGGCAAAATTGATTTTTTTTTTTGCAATTTTTATTGTATTTTTCGTCAAAAAAAAGCAATCGCGCGCCACCGCACACTGAAATTCTGGCGCCAATTTCAAAAATTTTCAGCTCCAAGACGAACATCAACGTCTCGTCCGTCTGGCGAAATCGAATTCCGACGGAGAGAATCCAAGGCGTTTTCATTGGGCGAATCGATATGCGAAAATTCGAATCAAATAAAAAAAACTTTCTTTTTTTTATGATGAGCAATTAATAAACGAACATTTGTGACTAGAATTTGCATTAGAGCGAATTTGCAAAAACATGAAAAAGAAATGCTGAGCTGGAAAAACGTCATACACGTGGCTTTTCGAAAAAAAAAACCTTGTTGTTCAGCGGAGCGCGTTTGCGACAGTTTTTTATCGATTTTCTTCATTTTTCTAGGAAATTAACCTAAAAATCGATAACAATTTTTTGTTTTTTTTTCAAAAATTTCAAAAAGCAAGCGCGCTCCACTGAACAAATAGCTTGTGGTTCGAATTTTGAGCGGCTGGAAAGCGCGAAAAATGGAAATTCTCCAAAAATCGGAGAAAACAAAAAAGGGGGCGGAGTCTGGGGGCGACGGATAAGGCGAGATATCCTGAGATGGGGTGAGACAGAAAGAAACAGAAAAAAAAATCGATGAAAAAAGGTCATGAAGCTCGAAGGAAAAGTTGAAACGGAACGGAGGGAGAACAAGTGCGCTCTATTGAGATATTTATATACAAAAAAAGAGTTAGAGTCATCAGTTTTTAAAAGACACCGTAATTCTTGGTGGTTTGTGCAACCCGTTTCAAGTCATTTGCCAGCTCGTCGACCTCTCGCGGGTCCACACGATGACCGTGATCGGATCGGGTCACTGATCGGATTGAGCGAGTCGATTTGGTCTGGAAAGAAATATTTGAAACATTTCAAGTGGATCAGTGAAAAAATCAAGCTTCTAGCTCATCTAGAAGCCGAGATATGGGCATTTGAAGTTCTGAGGTAAGAGACGCAGACAACGAGACACTCTAACTGTCTGCGTCTCTTCAAACTTCAAACGCCCATATCTCGGCTCTCAGATGTCCCAGAAACTTGACTTTGGACTAGAAATGTTTAGCAATTTCAGAGCTAAATGTTTTCGAACAAAATATCAAAATTTTGTGTCTCTGAAAATTTTCGAAAATCTGGAAATCAAGTATTGTAATTTGCGATTTTCGAGAAATTCCAAAAACCCCACATTTTAATTTTTTCAAAAACCTAAAGCTTTTAAAATTTCACACATTTCTAGATCAAAATCATTTTTTTCTAGGACCAATAGGATCCGAGATATGGTCGTTTCAGATTTTTAGAGACGCAGACAGTCAGAGTGTCTCGTTGTCTGCGTCTCTCGAAACTTCAAACGTCCATATCTCGGCTCCCAGGTGTTCTAGAAATGTGATTTTTAAACCAAAACGTCAAGAAAATGTATCTCTACCATAATTTTAAACCTTAGACCTACCCTCTGCATGCTATTATACTCGGAAGTAGGCCGTGTTGGTGGTCTATTCTGTGACGTTGTCGGTCTTTCTCCAGTCAGCCACTCGTGCTTCATGGCCGATGAAGCGCTAAGCCGTTCTGCTGAATTTGTCTCCAAAAGAGAGTCCACAAACTGTTTGGCCAATTCGGAGCCAGACCAGAACTGCAAATGGAAAATTCGCAAGTGCGCTCTAATGAGAATTTTGTGGTTCTGACTCTAAAAAAACATTTTTTTTTGAAGTCTCGCTCTAATGGGAATTCAAGAACACTTGAAAGTTAAAACTATCGTAAACCGTCTATTAGAGTGCCGCTTAACTTTAAGCCAATTTATCTCGGTTCCTGTTATAGCTATCAAAAAGTGGTCAACTGATAAAATATTTGTATTTTTATGATAAGCATTTTAACAGTTGACAATTTTTGAAATCTTTTACAGGAAATGAGATATTTGAGCTCAAAGTTATGTTTACGGTATTCCAAGACTAGATCAGTTAAGACCCCCAAAAAAAAAGTTCCACAAAAACCGCCGTTACCTGTGGATAATAAACGTAATTAGCCGTAATAATATGTGTATACAGTCGACTTCTGCAATCATCATCGAACGGCATGATTCCGGACATTAGGATATAGGCAATTACACCCACGGCCCACATGTCGACCTGTAAATTGGTGGAAATTATGAATCACTGATACGTTTATTTAAAAATTCTAGTAATTTCTGGAATTCGCTATCTTCCAGTTCAAAAATCATGTTTCTAGCATCACTGAATGCAGAAATATAGCTATTTGAAGTTTAGTAGGGTAGAGACGCAGACAACGAGACACTCTATCTGTCTGCGTCTCTTCTAAACTTCAAATGGATGTAGCTCGGTTTCTGGATGAGCTAGAGAAGTGATTTTTAGACAAAAATATTCAGTTTTCGTCAGTTTTTCAAATAATTGATTTATTTTTTTGACAAGTATTTGAATTTGCAAGTTTTGAAAAATTTCGAAAACCGAAGTTTTGATATTCTCTTCAAAAACATTTATCTCGAAAATTTCCAAACATTTCTAGCCAAAAATCAGTTCTCTACGACCACTAAAAGCCGAGATATGGGCATTTGAAGTTTAGTAGGGTAGAGACGCAGACAACGAGACACTCTAACTGTCTGCGTCTCTCCAAACTTGAAGATGCCGTATCTCGACTGTCAGAAGTCCTAGAAACTTGGTTCTTTTTTTAAGAGCTTTTTGGCATATATAATTTTTATCATTTGATCAAATTTTTGTTGCAAAAAATGTACAACTAACCTTCTGTGTGTACGGTACTCTCAACAAGAGCTCCGGTGCAATATATTCCGGTGTTCCACACGTTTCTGTCATCGTCTCATTTGGTTTCGTTGCTTGATACGCTAGTCCAAAGTCTGTGATTAGAAGACGTGCCTCCGGTCGAGCGTCCGAGTATAACAAGTTTTCTGGTTTCAGATCTGAAAAATGTTTTCTTGGGATTTTCATTTTTTGCAAATAAAGTTCCGAATTTCTCATAGTTCTGTCCAAAAACCACGCGTCTAGCTCATCTCGAAGCTGGGATTTGGGCTTTTGAAGTTGGAGAGAGACGCAGACAACGAGACACTCTAGCTGTCTGCGTCTCTTTCAAAACTTCAAACGACCATATCTCAGCTTCTAGATGAGCTAGAAACTTGAGTTTAAGACCAAAATGTTGGGGATTTTCTGTAATTTTTTACATTTACAGTAATCTTTCCAGAATACTGAAACTTCTTACCTCTATGAGTAACCCGAATGGAATGTAGATATGTCAAACCGGTCAACAACATTTTCAACGCATTTCTCGCTTCTTCTTCCGAATATCGTCCTTTCGCAACGACCCGATCATACATCTCACCGCCGGATGCCATTTGCATAACTATGAATAGTTTCGACGAGGATTTGAAGACCTGGAAGAATTAAAAGTTCAAATGTTTGAAGATTTTTAAAACATCTCATAACACTCGAAGTTACCCATTCTTCAGTTCGAAAGCCATTTTTCTAGCTCTCCTAGAAACTGAGAAAAGTCACTTGAAATTTTGAGGGGAGAGACGGAGACAACGAGACACTCTGACTGTCTGCGTCTCTCACCTCAAAACTTCAAATACCTGTATCTCGACTTGTAGATGAGCTAAAGAAGTGATTTTTAGACGGAAATGTGTGAAATTTCAAGTTCTACGGGAACTTTAATGATTGGGAAAACTAAAGAATTTTAAAAAATTATTTTTGAGTTTTCAATTGTTTTGTTTTGAAAAAGTTAGCAAAAATAAAAAGTGCCTAAAATTGTAAACATTTATGTAAAAAATCAGTTTTCTAGCTTGTCTGAGAGCCGAGATATAGTCAATTTGAGTTTTGAAGTGATATACGCAGACAACGAGGCACTCTAACTGTCTGCGTCACTCCAAATTTGGAGATGTCGTATCACAGCTTCTAGATGAGCTAGAATACTTTGAACATTCAGTTTTCGTTAATTTTTCAAAAAATCTATTCTTATTGACAAGATTTTAATTGTTGAAATTTTCCAAACCACCCAATTTTGACATTTTGTTCAAAAACAATTAGCTCTGAAACTTCTACGCATTTCTAGCCAAAAATCAGTTCTCTACGACCACTAGAAGCCGAGATATGGGCATTTGAAGTTTAGGAGGTGATAGACGCAGACAACGAGACACTCTAACTGTCTGCGTCTCCTCATACTTTGAGAGGCCGTATCTCGGCTTCTAGTAAACCTAGAGAAGTGTATTTTAGTTAGAAATGTGTAGAAATTTCATAGCTAAACGTTTTTGAACAAAATATCAAAATTTGGATTTTCTAGAAATTTTTGAAAATCGCGAGTTGAGGATATTTTTGAAAAAAAAAACAACTATATAAACATTTTTGGTCAATTTTCGAGCTTTCTGTAATTTTTGTTAAAAAAATAAACATCTCACCTCTTCCAGCCGAATAACAAATGGATGTGACATTCGACTCAATATATTCAACTCATTATTCACTGCTCCACAGTCTCCATTCACCACTTTCACCGCATAATATTTCCTGGTGACTCTGTGTTGAACTCGCAGCACTTGTGAGAAACTTCCTTTTCCGACCACTGCCAAAACTTCGTATTTACAAACGAGACGACTGTCGAAACGCATTGCTGGACGATCACGAAGAACCGCACACTCACCAAGTGGCATTTCACCACCGTGCTGAAAATAAGCCTTAAAATGAGAAAGCTTGATGATTCTGAATATTTCAGCACATAAATAGTTTGATTTTTATCCTTTTTTTCAATTTCCCGTATTTAAAATTTGATAAGTTAATCATATTCAGAATGCTCTTAAAATTTCACACATTTCTAAAAAAGAACCAAATCTCTAGGACCACTGGGAGCTGATATATTGCCACTTTAAGTTTTTAGAGACGCAGACAGTTAGAGTGCGTCGTTGTCTGCGTCTCTCGCCTTCGAATGCTCATATCTCGGCCCTCTGGTGCTTTTTGAACCAAAATTTTTGATTCGAATTTTTCGATTTTTCAGTGAAGACTTTAAAAAATCTGAATTTCAAAAATCTTTCGAAAATCTCACTACATTCCAAAAATAAACTTAGTCAAAAAAAAATTTAAATCTAAAATTTCTACACATTTCTAGCAAAAAAAACCACTTTTCTAGGACCACTGGGAGTCGATATACGGACTTTTGAAATGTTGAGAGACGCAGACAGTCAGAGTGTCTCGTTGTCTGCGTCTCTCGGCTCCTAAACTTTAAATGGCTATATCTCGAATCCTACAAGAGCTAGAAAGGTGATTCTTCGACAGAAATTCGTAGAATTTTCGATATTTTTCAAATTTTTATCAAACTTCTAAAATTTCAAAGATTTCTCACCGGTGGCGGACATGTCTGTGCTAGAGCATGTGGATCGATATGTGCCTTATGGAATAAATTCGAAAAAAAGCTGGTTCCCGATGAGCCGACGGTCGAACCGCTCTGCTTTTGAGAGCAGTTGCCCATTTGGTGTTTTGGCTGAAAATAATTCGAAATTTAGAGATTTGGCGGGAAATTGAAAATTTGAAACAAAATCAAGAATTTTCAAAAGAAGAAATTTTGGAAGATTGATGTCAAAAAACAAACTACAAGGACAACAATTGATGGGTCCCAAGGGGAAAATTTTAGACAAAAAATGGGCAAAAATGAGGAAAGGTGACATTTTCGGAAAAAAATGAAAATCCAAGAATATACAAGAAAATCAAAAATTCGGGATTTCCAAATTTCCAAAATCATCTGAAATTTTGGACTCCTTGAATTTTCAAAAAAAAAATCGACAATTAATAAAATTGAAATTCCTAAAAGTTAAAAAAATTCAGATTTTCAAAAAATTGTAAATTCAACATCTTCTACTGTTCCCCTACAAGTCTTCTTCTGTATACCAAACCCCAAGAGAGACAATAGAGGATGAAGAGACGCAGAGAAAGAAAGAAAATAGGGTGTGGTTTTTTCTCCAGGAAATAGTATAGAAACCAGAGAGGATTAGAGAGATTGAGAGAAAGGGAGTGGAACCATGGCCACTCCCAAAAAAAGTGAATTCTGAAGATGAATCGACGAATTTTTCACGCATTTTTGCGTTTTTACGATCGAGAGAGAGAGAGAGAGAGAGAGAGAGAGGGGCGCAAAGAAAGGTCAGAAGGAAGTAAAATGAAAAATTAAAAATGTGGGTGGATTGGCTATAGGTAGGTGGGTCATAAAATATTTATGAACGGTCTGAGTTTTTTGAGTTTTTTTAAACCTTTTCCTCTAAAGTTAGCGATTTCCTAATCATTTCCCATCACTAATCACTGTTCTAGCTCATCTACAAGTCAAGGTATATCTTTTCAGCTTATTCCTTTTTTTGGAACTTTTTTAATTTTATGAATTCTGAATTTTGATAAATTTTATATCATCAGAAGGCTCTTGAAATATCACACATTTCTAAAAAAGAATCACTTTTCTAGACCCCCTTGGAGCCCAGATATGGACATTTGAAGTTTCGAGAGACGCAGACAACGAGACACTGTGACTGTCTGCGTCTCTTCAAAACTTCAAATGGTTGTATCTCGGCTTCTAGGTAAGTTAGAAAATTGATTCTTTTTTAGAAATGTGTAAAATTTTAAGAGCTTTTCAATGATGTAGAATTTATCAAGTTCATCGTATGTGAAATTATGAAAAAAGGTTTTCCTAGAATAGAGAGGAAACAAGGAAAAATAAGACATTGAATACGAAAAAAGTAAATTTTCAAAATCCTTGCGTCTCTTTCTCTCTCTCTAAACTCTTTTGAATTCAAAGAGCTCCTCCACTTAGTTTTTTCAAATGGACACAACAGAGTAGCTCATTCAACATTTCCCAGACAATCGTTTAAAAGGAATTATTGGGGTCTTTTGAACTTGGCAAATGAGAATGAGAATTGGAGAAAAAAGAGGAGAGATTTTGAATTTTTGACTTATTTGAAAAAGCTAGGAACACACTAAAAAGAGGCAAATGTTTATAGTTTTCTTTTTTTAAATAAATTTTAGAATTCTTCAAAAATCTCAAATGTGACAAATCTCTTCTCTTTTCTTACGCACTAAGTTGTGAAGTTTCAAATTTCCACATGAAAGTTCATCTCTCATACAACAGAAAATGTGTGATTTTTGATTTAGTGTGATTTTTAAACTCGTTTTTCTTAATTTTCAGCATCTGAACTTTAATGTATTATATATTATCAGAAAGTCCTAAAAATTTCACACATTTTTGAAAAAGAACCAAATTTCTAGTACCACTGGGAGCCGAGATATGAGCTTTTGAAGCTTAGGGGAGACGCAGACAGTTGGAGTGTGTCGTTGTCTGCGTCTCTCACCTTCAAATTTAAATGGCCATATCTCGGCTTCTAGAGGAGCTGAACTAGTGATTTTTAGCTAGAAAGGTGTAGAAATTTTAGAGCTACATTTTTTTTGAAAAGATGGAAAAGTTTGGATTTTTGGAAAATTTCAAAAAACGCAAATTTAAAAAAAAGAAAAAATAACGAAAAATCGAAAAAAACTGAATAATTCTGTCCGAAAATCACTTTTCTACGACCACTAGGAGCTGAGATATCGGCTTTTGAAGTTTAGGAGAGACGCAGACGGTTAGAGTGTCTCGTTGTCTGCGTCTCTCCTAATAGTAACTTCAAATGGTCATATCTCGGCTCTAAGGAAGTCTAGAAAAGTGAATTTTTTAGAAATCTGTGAAGTTTCAAGAGCTTTCTGATGACAGACAATTTATCAAAATTCAGATTTTCAAAAACTTAAAAAATCTCAATAAAGGGAAAAGTCTGAGAACGCCCATATCTCGGCATCTAGATGAGCTAGAATTAGTGATAGGAAATGATCAGGAAATCACTAATTTTTAGTATCTGGAAATTCAAAAAAACCTCCTAAACTTTAAATGGTCATATCTCGGCTTTTTGCTGATCTAGACTAGTCATTTGTGAACTAGGTAGAGTCATTTAAGTTAAAAAATCCGATAATTCCAAAATTAAAAAAAAATCAAAAATGGAATTTCTGAGTTCGCAACACTTTTCCTCTCTTATCTTCTTCCTATTTATGGTCGTTCCTACGAGTGACCCCACTTTTCTATTTTTAGCACAAAATTATTATTATCACCGAAAAAAAATCACCAAAAATAGCAAAATAATGTTTTGTGATAAAAACTTCCATTATATAATTTTTGGACGATTGTAAAAAAATTATAAATAGTTTTTTTTTCGTAGAGAAAGTTAGAAAATTCGCTCTATTGAGAATCCAAAAAAAACACGCATTTCCCCTAAAAATCAGCAAATTCGCTCTACAGTGAATCCCACAAAAATAGGGAAAATAAAGTGTGTCCAATGTGATTTTTGAGTAGCAACAAGGTGTGTTGGGACAAGGGAAAAAAGTATCCGTCGATCTCTTAGCCCCCCCCCCCCCCTCCCGTTTTCTCAAAAATGACGTATTTTCCCCGACGAAGAGCACTTAAAAATAGAACTGTAGAGTACGGAACAAATTTTGAAGGATTTGCAGAAAGAGCGAGAGAAATAGAGAGAAACTCCAAGACAGAATTTTCCGAATTTTTCGGAATTTTTAGATCAGAATCAACGTTTTTAGGGCCACTGGAAACCAGGCGTTTTCTGACTTTTCCCTTTTTGGGATTTTTCGAAACTTTCAATTTTAGATTTATGATAAAATTGTACATCATCAGAAAGCTCTACAAATTTGACACATTTCTAGAAAAGAATCACTTTTCTAGGTCATCTAGAAGCTAAGATATAGCCATTTGAAGTTTAGAAGAGACGCAGGCAGTCAGAGAGTCTCGTTGCCTGTGTCTCCAACTTCAAAAGGTTATATCTCGGTCCTAGCAAAGTGATTTTTGTATAGAAGCACTCAGTTTTTGTCGATTTTTGAAAGGATTGATATTTTAGTTTTCGATTTGAAAAAATTTTCAGAAAACGAATTTTTGATATTATGTTCGAAAACATTTAGCTCTGCAATTGCTTTTGCTATTTCGTTCCTTTAAATTTCTAGCCAAAAATCAGTTCTCTAGCTCATCTAGAAGTCGAGATACAGTCCTTAGAAGTTTTGAAGAGACGCAGACAGTCAGAGTGTCTCGTTGTCTGCATCTCATCAAATTTCAAATGTCCATATCTCGGCTCCAAGGGGGTCTAGAAAAGTGATTTTCTTTTAGAAATTTGTGAAATTTAAAGAGCTTTCTGATAACATACAATTTATCAAAATTCTGAATTTCGAAAATTTTAAAAATCCCAAAAAAGACTAGTCTGAAAACGCCTATATCTCGGCTTCTAGATGAGATGAGCTAGAACAGTGATTAGCGGGGTGGGAAATTATTAGGAAATCACCAATTTTCATTATTCGAGAAAAATGTAAAAAAAAGGTTACTGTCTATTCAAAATAATCGCGCGGGTGAATGACTAAAAAACGTGTAGAGAGTGTCCAAACCTGTAAAGGCGCTGTAGAGACGCAGGGTTTTTTACTCGTTCACCCGCGCGATTATTTTGAATAGACAATATATTTCGGTTCCTAGTGGTCCTATAAACGTGATTTTTGGCTAGAAATGTGAAAGATTTTTAGAGCTTTATGTTTTAGAAACAAAATAGCAAAAATTTGGGGTTTTTGAAAATTTCAAAAATCGCAGATCTAAACAATAATCAGAAAAGCAGGTTCTTTGAAAAATCAACATAAACTGAATATTTCTATCAAAAAATCTTTTCTCTAGGACCACTATGAGCCGAGATATGGACATTTGAAGTTTTGAGGTGAGAGACGCAGAGAGTCAGAAAGTCTCGTTGTCTGCGTCTCTCCATTCAAAGCTTCAAACGGTTATATCTCGGTTCCTAGTAGTCCTAGAAACGTTATTTTCGGCAAGAAATGTAAAGAATTTTTAGAGTCTTATGTTCCGAAAACAAAATAGCAACAATTGTTAAATTTTCAAAAATCGAGACAAACATTTTCGAAGAATTTAATCAGTTTTCGAAAATCAACATAAACTGAATACTTCTATCCAAATACTTCTATTCAAAAATCAGTTCTCTACGACCACTAGAAGCCGAGATATGGACATTTGAAGTTTTGAGGGGAGAGACGCAGACGGTTAGAGTGTCTCGTTGTCTGCGTCTCTCACCTCCTAAACTTTGAATAGAAATGTGTGATATCTTAAAAGCTTTACAAGTTTAGGTTTTTGAACAAAATATCAAAATGTAGGATTCTTGGAATTTCTCGGAAATCGCAAAGTGCGATACTTGATTTTCAGATTTTTCAAAAAAAAGTTTACTAAAAAAAAGAAAACTTCGAACCGCAAAGATACCTGGAAGCTGTAAAAATTCAAGATTTTAAAAAAGAGCAAATCCGCTCTAATGAGAATTTTATGAAAAAAACAGAAAAATGGGACAATTTAGCTTATTTTACGATGCAAAGGGACAAAAAACCTAAAAAAAAAAGATAATTTCGTTAGCTTTATGGAATCTTTGC